GTTCGATTGTAACACTATTGTTGATCTTGTTTTGAGGAAAAAGATAATATCTTCAGTACGTGATTCAATTCGTGAATTCATAGAATGAGGAATCTTTACTAGTTCTTATACCAACATCGCATATAAGTTCGGAATCTTCACTTGAATGATTCAGCCTGTTTTTGCGACGTCATTTCTTCTCTGGTTGTCGCACATACATTTCCTTGATAGGGTTATAACGGAGTTCTTTGATCATCATCGATAGTAATCTTTATAGATAACGCAATCGTATTGATCGTTTTGTGGTCTACAAAGAGAGGTTTAACATAATGTTTAAGTCAGTGTAGTTTTACTATTGTGATCGAGTCACGTATTCCACAGGGTATAGTTTTCAAAGATCGATATCATGGTATCACCGAGTATTGTTTTGATTTCAATGAAGAATCATGGTTTTAGTATCTTGATACAAAGAATGGAATTCAATCTTTTCAAGATTGATCAAGCGAGATATTTTCAAGGGTGTAGTTAACACAATAAGTTTGAGTATTTCAAGGATATGAATCACAAGATACAAAGATAGCGTTTGCGAATTACCGTTACTAATCGTAGGTTTTCTTCCTCTAATGTTTCACTCTTTGGAAGTTACTCAAGAGGTCATTTATCTTAGGGTTATAGTCATTTTGACTTTTCGTCTCGGATTTGAATGTATTTCAGAACAACGAGCCTAACTATTCATGAGTCTCAATATGTCATGTCGTCAGCAGACTGTAGTATTGGCGAGTACATTCTTGTCTGGAGCGAATCCACTTTCCTGTACGTTTTTAGGCGGGTGATAATTACTTTTTCCATCAATGGTCCGGTTTCAGAGTCTATATATATATATATATCAAATTGTGGCAAGAGCATCTCACATTTTCACATTATGGAAGGAACTTCTCGAACTCTTTCTTATACCATAAGATTCGTTGGTCTACTTGGTAGTCATGCTCTTGGTAGTAATCCAAGGTTCATGGCTACAGCGGTCGATCTAGGACGGAAATTGGTAAGGCGAAAAATCAGGCTTACCTACGGAGGAGGTAACGTTGGTCTTCAAGGAGCTGTAGCTTCAACAGTCTATAATAATGGTGGTAGAGTCAGAGGTTTCATACCAGGGTATATAGCAACACAGCAGGTTTACGGACCTACGTACGGTGTAGAGTATACCGTTTCCAGCAATTACTATAAGTATTTCGAGATGAATCATATTGTGGAAGCCTTCATCGTACTTCCAGGAGGGATTGACACTATGGAAGGTTTATTCACTTTGATCTCATGGGCATCCGAAGGGTTACACAATAAACCCATTGGTCTTTTGAACATTGACGGTTATTTCAATAACCTAATCAAGTTTTTAGATGATGCGGTGAGGCAGAACTTCATGGCTTCCAGTCAAAGAAAACTTTTCATTTCTTCTTTCTTTGTTGGTGAGCTTTTAGACAAGCTAGAGTTCGCTAAAGCTTTTCCGGCTTTTGGGGCTAATTATGACGAGTTCGCAAATCCCGGGGGATTAGATTTGGAGTTACATTTGTAGTATTACTTCATGTAATCCTAGTTGTATTTGTGTCAGAATGATATTATTCGTAAATATTATATTACGTTGTATGGCCAGTGCGAACTACATTCTCTTCATTCTTCAGTCTTTCACTGTTGGTGTCACTGATTCACGTCATGTTTTGTATCATCATCACGATCGCGATCTTTTACGTCAATAGGATATCTGAACGAGTCAACTATCTTATTGATTTGTCTTGTGAGCATCACTTCACTTTATTTATTCAATCAGACTACATTGACGTTTTTGATGATAAGCAATCAGGTCGTTAATTCCTTCATAACAAGGCATCAATTCATTCAACAAGGTTGAGCTATCTATAGCTTTTAACAAGTAAGTTCTTCGAATATGACTGAACAAATCGTCAATACGAAGTAAAGGGTAGCGATTCGTGATCGTCATTTTGTTCGTCTTTTTTTTTTAACAGGGATTTGATAGTATCCTGACAGTAAGTCAATTTTAGAGAACACAATGGATCCTCTAAGCTGATCAAATAAGTCATGATACGAAGTAAAAGATAAGGATTTGTTTAATTGACGATAGTTGATACAGAGTCTCGTCGATCCTTCTGAATTCGCATATGAACAAAATAGGTATTCTCCCAAGGAGGAAACACTTGATCAGATGATTCTTTGTCAGGGAGTCATTGATGAAAACACGTTCAATACAGAACTACGAATATTGGTCCTTTCTAGGATCAAGATTGACAAAGAATTCAATTTCTCGGAACGGTGAAATATTAGGAAGTTCATATCAGAGAGGTGACATACTCTCGGTACGTTACTTCAGTTCAGATATTTCTCCTCGCGTAGATTTCACACAAAAAGACTTTACGCTCCTTTTGGTTGAGAGGTTTGCGCACATAAATTCAAGATGAACTCGGTCGGTTTAGAAAACAGCTTTGCTTTCACCTATATAAGGTTTCCATCATCGATCTTCAGTTGAAGAATTCTTCGTCAAGAGTTGTCAATACCAACGTCATTCGATCAGCCAATGTATACTAAGGATAATTGTCAAATTCCTTGTATAGTATTTCAACGAAGTTTTGCAAGGAGTTGTCGCTTAACGAACGATTTCGATTCCTAAGATATAATCGCATAATTGCATCTTAATGAGTTAGACATCAGAATGGGATACTTTGGATAACAGAGTTTATTGATTCTAAACGTTCGTGTTTGAATCAGTGATTAGATCGTCGTCCACATGAGTATCTTTGATATCGGCTTCACAGTTGTTTCTCAACAATTATCGTTTCTTCATAGTCGTCTCACTTTCGTACGATTTTGCTATGCAGATCAGTTTCGTCCTTCGCGATGCGATGCGTACGTTAATAACGGATCACAGGGTAATATATTTTTCATTCATTCTTGCATCTCTTTACTGAGTACGAAAGTTCTACTAGAGTCTAAGCTCGATACGATTTGAGTACTAATCACTTGTTATTCAATGAGAATTCTAACAGAGTAAATATTTACCAAGTAAATTCTCATACCTTTCCTGGAGCAGAGGGACGCGAGAGTCGTGGATGTGATTGACACAAAATTTTTTTTAATTCAAATTTTGATCCGAAGATCGGTTTTAAAACCATTTGCTCTGATACCAAATTGTAACACCCTAATCCGTCCAGGTCTGCAGCCCCTTTCGGACTAAAGTATTAACTTGGTAATCGTAAAATTTAAAACTTTTCAAATACTTTTATTTATCATAATAATATTTTTCATATCATAGACAGTACAGAGTTTTCAATATTGCGGAAGCTTAACAAATCATAACCACAAACATAATTTATTTATATTCTTTTATTCAAAACCATCACATCCATTCCGACTATCTCGCCTCCGTCTGCCTCCAGGATCATGTCACGTCATTCTATTGACCTACGTGTAGCAAATAAAACACACTACACGCTCAGCGGTAAAGCTGAGTAAGCATATCTAATGCGTCGAACATCCACATAAATTGAATCTCAATTCATAATCAACCATTTGATATCATGCACATAATGTTCAGTTTAGATAGTCAATCATCAATATTCAAATTTTCAACAATCATTATTCAATCATCCAACATGTATATCCATCATTTGTCATTCAACAGTATCCTTAAACTATTCTTAGTCTAAGGCCAATCACTTTAATATTTGTCAACCCTTAAATGAATTCTAGTTTAACTAATTAAACTATATTCCAGTATACAGAGTACTCCTAATAATCCTTAAGCTAGGCCTAGTTTAAGATAAAAGGGTTTTGGAAATCTTAAACTTACCTTCACTTAAGGTCAACCAAAAACCGACAGCGTAGTGTTCACTGTTGGGTGGGTGGTACCCCCAAACGAGTAGGTACTCAAGTTTGGTTCTTGGATCCCGTACGTACGTTTTAACCCTAGCCACCGGGCATCATACCCGCAAGGCCTAACTTATACAGGTATATCTTAGAGTTCTTCTAGATACCTTTCAATTCAACATTAATATGGGTATATCTTAGAGGTCTTCTAGATACCCTTAACAACACATATTATTTTCACAATCATCAATATATCCCTTATGATTTAATCATTCATAATTTCCATTTTTAATCACAACAATTATCAAGATTTAATCATCATAATCATCAACCAATAATTATTACCATAATCATTAATCAACATAATATTCAACAACAATTAGTGGCCTAGCTTCGAGTGTTAACACCCGAACTTACCGTCATGCATCACATAACATTTTTATTTGTTAAAAACATCATTTTTATTGTGGTAAATCATTTTTATAATGATCATAATCAATTGGTATCAAAAATAGGATTTTAGAACTCAAAAATAGCATTTT